CGAGACAGAGAGCGGACGCATCCTCGAAGCATCATCATGCCATATGAAGACAATATTATGGAGAAGAATTTAATTGTGATATAATATAATCCATGGATTTAATTCGTTCTCTCATTTAGTTATATCAGTGAATGGTATTATATTGTATTACACCGAACAAATTACATTTGCTTCGGTGCTTAGTTAAGCAATCATTATGTTAACGATGCGATTATGCTTTGCTTTGAATAATATTTTCATATATTATCTTAATATCTTTTGTTTTAAGCTATTTCTGTTACTTATATGTTACTACATAATGTATATCTCCACTATAAAGAAGTTTATCAAAGGTAGTCAATTAAGGGATTCACTAATGTTACACACAGATGTAATATAAACACTATGTTTCTGAACAGTGCAAATACTGTTAGCTACTTTTGTAAATAGTTAATGAAAATGTATCCCCAATATCTTTGTGTTTACTGAAACATTTTGCGGGTCATGTTTCGATATTCTAAAATCAATTAGTATTACTTCCAAGACCGATAAAATTAAATCAATGAATTCATTCTTACTTGGGTCTTGTATCTGATGAAGTAAACTTCGGGTTTGGATGGTTGTGTAGGCGCAGGAGTTGGGATCACGATGTCGGGCTGCTCCTCGGGCTTCTTCACCAGAACGTAGACCAGAGTCTTCTCCTCGTTCTGAGGCTGCACAGGGATGATAGGAGCGGTGGGAGTGGGTGGGGTCGGTGCCTTAATGAACACAATTTTGTAGTGTTTCTGAGGAGGAGGCACCCAGATGGGCTTGCGGGGAGCGGGGATGTCATTGTCTGGAGGTGGGACATGCACGTACACGTGCTTGTGCACTATGGGCTGTTGGGGAGGTCCGTACTGAGGCGCGGGAGCACCGTATGAGGAGGAGGGAGCACCGTACGATGATGAGGGAGCACTGTATGAGGGGGCAGGTGCGCCATATGACGACGGGGGCTCTGGCCTCGCGACCGCGCAAGCGACCACCACCGCCACCACCAGAGATCGAAGTACCTGCACACATAAATCACGACTTGTAACAATGTACTTACTTATATTATTTTTTCAAAAACACACTTAAGCACTATTTTTCTTCGGAAGATATCAATAAATATCTTATCAGGTATGCACTAATATCACCAGGTCACTTATTGATCAATGCGATCCTCACAAAAAGCTCGTCACAACACCTACCGTTTTTTCACACATCCTGGGTATGCGATTAGACGCAGCTAGATAGTGTAATGTCCAGTACCCAGGCGCCACCTGTGTTTATAAGACTTGTGCGCTCCATATCCGGGGGAGGGGGCACTTTCGATGGTTCACATACCTTTCGCAATAAGATGGTGCTCACGCGCCGCCCTCCTACTGACGCCGCATCAAGTGACGTGCTCGAGGGCATGTTCTGCCGTCAATCCTTTTACATGTCTATCTTTACGTTGAGGCTTCGAATAATTTTTTTTTATTTATTTATTTACCATATATTTCGACAAGAAATCGTTCATTTTTATTGGCAGGGTTACTATAACTTTTAAGAAAATAGATTATTTTATATTGAGTTAAACGTTACTTAGGTACTTGATTATAGTAAATATACGTATATACTTTTATAATATGGACATACATACCTAATAATGCCACGCATAAAAGCCTATACGAGCAATACCGGTTGTATATCGGTATACGTAAAATTGAATTGTTGTTATGGGCACTCTATATCAATATCAATAAATGTAACTACTCCATAAAACTCTTCCATTACAAACCAGCTGATAGACAATGCATGGCTGAAACAGCTGGAACCACTGGTATGTGGTATGTAACACACATACAATGACTGAGGTGACGTAAGGAAGAAATTCCAAAATTTTCACGGGAACAGGATGCCATGAGATTTTGATATGCTTTTAGTTAACGCCACTGGTACATGTTAGTTTAACTTTCTTACAGGAGTTGCAGCGGTTTTGGAGGGTTGTGGCATGCTTGTCCCATTTTAAAGGTTTGTTTAACTTCTTGGATATGTCGGTTGCCTGTGGATAGGTATGTGCATAGACCATTCCTATAGAAGTGTAAAGAGTAAACCTTAATTACAATATTATAAACCTATTTGTTTTATATTGTTCTAGCTTTTAGGAAATGAAAATAAGCGTAAAGATAGTTTCTGTGACGTCATTACCTTATGTAGAGTGCAAAACGACAGTCTTACATAAAATAAAATTGTGTTTCAAAAATAATTGTACTTTTTATTAACGTGAAACCCAGAGGCTTCCCAAATTCGAAATTCTCCAAAGTAAATAACAAAAACATGGAGCCAGGAATCGTCCCCAATATTACTACCTGAAAGGTCGCCTCCTATCACAAGCCATTCTGGACAAAGCTAGGTGTACATATAATTTAATATGTGTACTTCAGATTACCTTTTCAGGGAATAATAACTTCGAAGAATAAGTAACTTGTTTACAAGGTTAATATGCGTGAACTTGTATGTTGCATGGAGAGTGACATGCAACAATGATTCTGAGATTTACATGCCTAGGTTAACTAACCAATAACCAGTAATTGGAATAGGGTGAGCATATTTACCTACTGTTTGTAGAACAGAGACAAAAATCGGGGACTTCCTTACCTAAAAATTTTTTTACCGGTAAATTTACTAGAACTTTAATTACGTGAATTTTAACATCTTATTAATATTTAAATTATGAATACCTTTCGTTTTATAACGACTGCTTAAAAAAGGATACCTTTTGTTTTCTTCCTTTCTTTTCTATCTTTATTTCTTTAGTCCACCGTAACTCCTGATCTACCAAAGGAATTTAGGAGCCGTGGTTATAAAACGAAAGGTATTCACAATTTAAATATTAACAAGATGTTAAAATTCACGTAATTAAAGTTCTAGTAAATTTACCGGTAAAAAAATATTTAGTTGTAAGGAAGTCTCCGGTTTTTAATCTGTTCTATAAACTCTAGGTAAATATACTCACCCTATTCCGATTACTGCCACTCGTGCCCGATAATAATTTTTAAATATATCTAGTAAATATTTCCTAGATAGTAATTTGAACTGAAACCGACCGTTAGTAACTAAATTATTTCAAATGTTTTTGCGTGATAGGGCAAAAACATTCAAACATGCAAACTTTCACATCCTGTTTTTATTATTTAGACACCAATACAAGTATTGCCGTGAAAACCCATCAAACTCATATAGGTCCAATGCTGAGACAAACTTGACAAGTTACAATAATCTGATCGAATGAAGTAACTATGTCCGTTGTGCATTGGTACATAATGGTAGTACTACCTTAGTACTGCATTGAATGGTTTTGCAGCAACTAGTAGGTGCATAGGTGGTAGGTATCATATCTCATAAATATTCCATGTTGGAAGCAAGTATCGCTCCGAGGCAACTCTAATGTCCCTCGTAAGTACCCACCGTGAAACCAAGTAATCGCAATTTGCTTTGAGTTCAAATGTTAATTTACTGCAGGTTACACTCTCAGCGCATCTTTGGTAACTTTTATCGCCGTATGTAGTAAGTACTCGGTACACACTGAAGTTAAATATGTACTTATATATTAGCTATAAAGGAATGTGAATGTTTATTGCTCCTCATTGCTTTATTGAGAATATACATTACTTAAGTAAGTATTAGCTTTTTCCAATAACTCAGTACCCGCTGTTCACTATCGAGTCTAAAATCAAAACAGCAGCGTAGCAGGTCCGTAGGTAATGGAATAATAGTACGTTATTGATTAAAACACAGCACATTGTGCAGTTTCGTGTTGGTTTACTTGTGATTGATTCCATCTAACCAATCGTTTCCGATACGACACGCTTGCTTGTTTCGCAGTATTGCGCTCATTGTGAAGTAGGTGCTCGCTTCTAATACATATAATGTTTCATGACAAGTCTAAAGAGACGCGTTGCGGATGTAATTTGTAGTGCGAACAAAGCACTTAGTGACAATCTGTCAGTGCATCATTGTTTACGGTCTGTGTTGAAGCAGAGTGGGAATAATTGACCCCTGACCCGGCGCAGGCCCCAGAATGTGGAAACACCAGGAAGGTAGGCGAGCATCGATGCCTATTTCTACGAAACCGGTTGATTTATACCTACGTGCGATTACTGTTTGTGTTATCTGGGACGCGGTATTCTATAACATCCTTAGTAATCAACACCATGGTTCATTAATATTTTGTGGAGTTAAATAAGTAGGTACTAAATCTCCTCATAATAACATTACGTCCTACGTCTTAGTTCTCGCACCAATTGCGAATATTGATGTAAGAACTAAGATCACTAGAAGATAGCTTGTTATTTGTGCCCTGTTCTGTCTCGATATTTCTATTAGTGCAAAGGTTTTAAACTCTCAGTTATTATGAAGGTATTATATTTCTAATTTTATCTCATTAAACATAATTGAATTAGCTTTAGATATAAAATAACGGCAAAAATATCATAGGAAAATCATATTTTTGATATTGGACCATTTTGAAATGTCTAGTCAAATATCAGATATTAAACTATCAATCAGTATTTCATGTGGTTTTCTTATCAGTGTTTTATAAACTATTAAACGCCTAATGCCTATAAGTTGCAGATTGTTTCGGCACATAACGAGGCACAGCTGCCAAGTCACGCGATATCGAGAAAAGATTACACTCGTGTACCGAGAGACGAAGGCGCCCTTGATTGACAATTAACTATAAGAGGTCGTAGGAAGATTCTCTGAGGCAAATGTTGACACATCCGAAAAAGCTCCAGTTGTGACGCCTCGTGCATTGTTCCGTGCTCGTCGTCTTAGTTACAATTGATTGGCGTACATGTTACATATCCGGCACGCTCCAGAATCTCTCAGCCTCCCAGTATCTGCGAGTGGAGGCTAACGCTGCATGCTACTCTTCAAGTTAGAAGATATGTATAATAAAAATACAGTGACAAAATAACAATTTGACGAAATAATATAGACCAAGTATTAAAGAAATGGCGTTACCATTGTGCACCAGATTAAGACTAAGGACTAACTGTCTTCGAGAGGTGAGTGTATAAATTAAATAGTAGAGGTGCGAACAGAAGCTCAAGATAATTATTACCTGTCTGATCACCACTGCGTAATTGCAATTCAAAATTGAATTTATTTTGGTACTATTTTAGTTTTCGGTGTTGAATTTTCTTCCCGTTAAATACCGGATCTAGCTACTAAATTGAGTTATTTATTCAATAATTTCAAACATTCAACAACGAATTCCATATTTCTGTTTTCGTAAGTTGTACCAAGGATAAGATCAATGTTGCGATTGCGGTTTCAAATGAAATGTTTTTAAACACCTTGTACTCGTATAATTAGCCGCCACACGAAATAACCTTTGACATAACTCGTCTCACTTCATTTTAAAAATGCAAATATTCATTCCAAACTATCGCTGTTATGTAATGCCAAAAAAATAGTAAGTGCACGAAAATTGTTGTTTGAACAACCAATTAAAAGTTAATATAAAATAATCGCGGGGATTACAAGTAATATAATTAGACTGTTTCTCTGTAAAGCAGTTTGAATAGACAATTGCAGAAACGTTTTTGATATCATTATTTCGACCGCTACGCTTTACAAGTAAAATGTAGAAAGTTACATAAGTACGTACAAAGGGCACGAACATAATGTTCTCCTAACAATACAGCTATTATTTTTCAAAGTATTCAAAATTCGACGTAATAACCGTATTTTCGTATATAAAAACCCCAAGGCTCTATTATGCCAAATTACACAAAGGTTGCAATTCATCACGAACGGTATGGTAACATCGTCTCGGACTCTCATGGGTTACGAAACTAAATTTTGAAGTCCGATATGAAAAGTACCTACCCGTTGCAACGATTCTGAATTGCAACATATATTTTGAGTAGACGATATGCAGACAAACATAATGTATGCGAGTAAATGTCAATATTTTTTATTTGGATAACAATATGGCAATTTAATTAAAGACATTTTTAAAAAGCTACGGTAAAATTATTAATAGAATTCACATTTGGTTTGCTAATATCAGATAATCATTTTGAAATTCTTACGGAACAAAATTGGCTGGATGATGAGGACCTCGCCACGGTCAGCAGTGAAAGTTTACGAACATTTGAAATAATTATAATACTCGTGACTTCGCAGACACCGGCAATTGCGTTTCTTTAAAAAAATACATTAATCTAGAAATATTGCAAAATCCGTATACCACGACTTTGGAGATAAAAATGGACGATCATATTGTATTCAATGCAGAAGACAGTAATTCCATACCGCACTTTTTTATTAATGCATAGTTTGGTTTCGTCGCATTCGATTAAATAAAGTAACCATTATATTTTGTTAACGTAAACCCTCGTCGATCTTGAATTGAATCAGTTCACCACGGTTGTGAGAATTGTTCGGCATTCACAGTTCACCGTAATAAGGGAAAGAAAAGAAGGATTCTTACGTGAATTATTGCAAAAACATTCGGTTCACTTAACTTTGCATTGTTAGTACTCCATTCGATACTATTATGTACATAAAAGTAGTACATAATAAAAATGGTGACGAACGGCTTCGCTCATTGCTTTTAACATTTCTACATAAAGGTACTCATTTAAGAATGTATGTATATTGTATGTATATGCTACGTAAACGGTCTAGAACCTCTAAATTTCACAATTATTATCGAACAGTGATAAATACATACTATACTAATACATAAGTGTTATGTATTAGATCATTTATGTAATTTATGTTAGTCAAAAAAATGTAAATAGCTACACAAAACTACGACGTTCAATTAGCACAGGCGTAGGCCCCTACCTGCGTTTAACAAGGCCTACGACATTGCTACGCACGGCTACGAAAAGTTTTAGTTCCGAAAAATGTACGTTTATTGAACGCTAATGTTTTTATGCAGTTTTATAAATGTTTCAATTAATACATTCATGGACGTACATATGCAAAAACTACTAAAAGGTTCTTGGAGAGAAATATGAAGAAGCAGAATGACGCGACCTAATTTATGACCCTACAATTATTATCCTAGACAAGTTGTCCCAACAAACGAATCATTCAGACGCAAAACGTATAAACAGCTATGTTTAATTGTTTGGAATGTGGTGAGACATTAATACCAGTCCCATGCCCATGAGCTAACTTCGAGCTATTCATTGAGGCGTATACAGTCCGGAACTATCCGGTTTGAGGAAGCTAGCGCGGGTATTAAACCGGCTTATTCCGCCCTTACATTGCCTTGCGTGTCGGTGTCGCACAACATGCGTTGCTCTTGACTGCTCTTGAGCACACTCGAGTAAATCGACTTGACGATACTTCTACTGCTTCTTAAGCATGCGTGTCCACTACAATCAAGTGTATGGGTTCAATCAAAACAGTTCACAATATTTAACTTTTCATTTTCTGTAACGGTCATGCAATGCAATGATTCGTATCTATTATTTACCTTAACTATCCCATTTATATTCGGAAAGTTTTACTTCTGATTTAGCTCTACTAAATGTAAGGCTTTCTAGTATGTGTTAGAAAAATACGGTGAGACTTCAGCTTCCATGATAAATAAATAACAAAACTTAGTCAGTTTGTTTATTCGTTGATACACAATTTATTGGCAGTTAGATTATTAGCCTTCATTAGCAGACTACGGCAATTTTAAACAATTTAAAAGGCAATTGAAATTGTGTCTGTTCTTAATTAAAAAAACACTGTAAGATCGGACTTTACTTCTTATTGTCTTTGTACCTATTTACGGCATCGACCCACTCGCCGATTAAGCAATTATGTATAGCAAGAGGTGAGTTATTTTAGAAATGATTGATACGAGTTCGAGGCTACGTAATTAAATAGTGAAGATGAGTTTAGACACTCGATTCGAGAGATGGTCAAGAAAAAGAATGGTTACATATCTACCTACCTACATTACATGCGAAACGAAACAGCAATAGCACAGTAAAGATCAACGTAACTAAAACGTCTAATTTAATCTCAAACGCGCTAACGCCTTGTTGTTTCACAACTAGAGAACATATTGAATCATAGTAATTAAATTCTTAACCTCAATGTTTCGTAAACATAACATTAAGAGCTTCTACACAGAAAAGAGCGTTTAAGCTGTATACCACGTAGGGCTAATATAGTGTGAGTTTAGCATTTATTAAGTACACATATAATTATGCTATTCAATCAGCTACAGCCAATTCCACCATAATTGTCATTCCACCATAATTTTGGTAATATGCTATTCAAAAACTGTAAAACATATTCCTGTTTAAAATGATATACGTAAACCAAATTAATTTATGACAATTTCAGATAAATAATTGTCTGTAATTCAATGATTTATCTTGGCATTTTAATTACACGGTGAAATTATTGAATTCCATAATCTATGTAAACCCTTTACAAAGAGATGAAATTAGTATTCCTTAAAGAATCGCACTTCAATATGATAAATAAATACATAACGGAAACGCTGTTATTTGTTGAAAGTCTACTTTTAAATTGTGCATTGTCATGTCAACAGTTGTTAACACAACTCTCTACACCACGTTACTGTTAAATTGTTATTGTAGCTGGGCCTGTTACGCTGACATACAATTCACACTAAGATAAAACATTGAACTTGACAGAGCCATTCGATAACCGTACGTTCGACGTTATTTCTTATACACCATAGAAATCACAATTGTATATGGTACTTGTTGTTTTCAGATAACAATATTGACAATATTATGGTGGAGTTTAAGTTCAACATCAGTAGCATCAGCTTCACTTAACTTACCGACCTCCAAAAACATAGATTTAGCACCATCCCAGAATGAGAGCGTGGCTGAAGTACTATTTCATTGGGAAGACTATAGCGTGCTGGCCGCTATGCTGATAATTTCCTGCCTGATTGGTGTATTTTACGGATATTTTGGTGAAAAGCAAACAACAGGAGATGATTTCTTACTTGGTGGCTCGTCGATGGGCACATTTCCTATGGCGTTAAGTCTTGCAGCAAGGTTAGCATACGCGTGCCAACTGTTATTGTTTCTTTAGTAGTCCTTTGGTAATTTGACTTGACTATTTCCAGTTTCATCACAGCCATCGAGTTGTTAGGCAACCCAGCAGAAATGTACATGGCAGGTGCCCAGTTCTGGATGATTTGTGTCGCCTTTGTACTGGTCGTGCCTATTGCAAGTCATCTCTACCTGCCGGTGTTCATGAGGCTGCGGTTGACGTCATGTTACGAATATTTGGTTTGTCATTTATTTGCTTATTCGAAGGAGAAATCTGTTTATTTTTATTTGACTATACCAAAGTACGTAAATAAAATTTTGAAAACATTTGAAGGATACATAGATTTCAAAGTACTTGCTTACAATAAAGTATTCTGACATAGAATTGAATTTATGATTATTGTTATAATGACTTGTTAAAATTAATAACAATGAATTTGTTTACAGGAAGTGAGATTCTGCAAGTCCATCCGTGTGTATGCAAGTGCGTTATATCTAATGCAGATGATTCTGTACACGGCCGTCGCGGTATACGCGCCGGCTCTAGCCCTCTCCGATGGTAATTCTAATACCTGAATGTTTGTTCAGTATTTAAGTAGACGAATATTCTTCCTTAACATTCTCGTTAGAGCCATTTTCACAAGCAATCCTTCCAAAATCATTTCTCAACTGAGGTTTACTAAACATAAGGAAGCACCAAAATAAATTTCCTAGCTTTTTTAGGTTGGTGAAATATTAAACAAAAAAATTATCGATTAACTACACTTTGGAACGAGCGCCTAGCTTCACAAACAGACAGACAGACAGACGGACAATTCAATTTTTGACGTTTCAAAAGTGCCTAATTAAAGATTAATTGAAATAAATACGTTGACTTTGAATTTGAAAACCATTCCTCAAAATTTAAGAGAGGTTGGTGAATACGGGCCAGTAAGATATTAAAATTTTCAGTAGCAATATTACTTCCTAAAGTATTAACGAATATTTGTTCACCCTAATTAGAAAGTTCTAAAGTAACATTAATTAATAAACGAGTCTAATAACTAACGGGGTACAGAAATATCGAATTCAATATTTCAGTATCATACAAAATTATTCCTTATATAACGTTCAATATAAAATAGATAATTAAAATAAATTAGTGTATTTAGCAATACATTCATAATACACATAATAACCATAATTATCTACTCATAGCTTTTGTTGAGAATGTCTTTTGTAATACAATAATATGTCAATATATGTTACGATTCACAATCATCTTCTAAATACTAATTAACACATAGACAAAATGTCTTCAAACTTACAGCACCTATAGCAGGAAAAGATATAGGTACTATTTCTAGCATTTCTGAAAAACAAATTGTACGTGTGCAATATGTAGCTAGGAGGCTAGAACAAGAATCAAGTCAACCATTATGGCCATAAACTTTAGACCTTGAAAAATCTATATGCAACTAAAAAAACTAATGTTTTAAGTTGAAGATAACAACTTCAATGTTATGAAAGTGATGCGCTCGATTTCATTTACATATAACTACATAGTCAATGTCAATAGAAATTTCGCAATGTGTGGAGTTGAAGCCAATATGGGGTCAAGTGAACCTGGGCGGTATGCGGTGTGCTCCTGTCCCATCAACACGTTAAATAATTCAATGTCACTGCATTCGTTTCTCACGCAACAAGGCTCTTGAATGCTTTATGTGCTACGGTTACATCAGACAACCCATCGCTAAATACTTTTATACCATAACATAGTATCACCATTTATAATATAGATAACGGTGCTACGAGCAATTTGCGTTAATTGCATTCTGTTATATAATCTTGACAGTCTCTAGAACGAATTAAAATTTTAAGGTCTTACGAGGTACACATTTCTACTCACGAAGTAATTAACCGTGTGGGTGAATTTATTTAAAATTAGCAGTTCGCGTTTTCACTTATTGGATTTTATACCAGTTCATACTAGTTCACACAACAACGATTTGCACCATGAAGAATATTATTTCATGTTTGAATTGCTCGTAAGTACCTATATACATACAATATACATACCTACCTAAATAAGAGGCACACCAAATACCAAATTTTTTTCGATAAATCAAATAATTTTATTATAAGAAATTGGTTTCCAAAGCAAAATACTTTCAAAGCTACTTACATAAGCAATATGTTATTTTTTGTTTAGTAATACCGATCGCTAGTAATGTTACGATTATTTATTCGGCAACTTTGCCTACTTATTATTTCTCAAGTGGTACTACAAAGCATGCAACAGTGCCGAAAATCAACATTAGAATTAAAATTCAAATAGCGTGCAAACGGCGCGATAGTAGTATTTGGTTGCATCACAACTTCAAACATACCTACTAGGGTATGCCTATATATTGGTACATTAACTTTTCTTATCCTTGAACCTGCGCCTCTTAGGTAGAAGCATGACGAAGATAACGTATCAAAAATATCTGTCCTAGTGTGGGGCAGTTGGGCTCGCTGCCATTGCAGCGGTAAGTCCCCTCTTTGAGGAGTGGCTTGAGAGACGCTACGGCGTCCTCACCTACCGCCTGACGCAGGTCCTCACCGGACATGGAAGTTTCGGGAGGTACCTGTGTCTGATGGGGCGGGAGGAAAAGCCCGGGTGTCATCACTGCGAGGACCACCCTGAGGACACGGTGGAACACACTGTTGCGGAATGCCCTGCGTGGGCTGAGCACCGCCGTGCCCTCAGGGAAGTGATCGGCGATGGAGACCTCTCGCGTCCGGGCCTAGTGCAGGCCATGATGCGGAGCGAGGGGGACTGGGATGCCGTCTCCTCCTTTTGCGAAGCAGTCATGCTGGCTAAGGAGGAGGCGGGACGCGTGAGGCAGCGAAGCGTTGCTGCCTCGCAACCCAGCCATCGCGAAGGACACACCGGGCGTCGGGGATCGCGGGACGATCTCCGGCCACCGTAAGCGCGGGCCTGCGGACGGCGAGCATGGGTGGCTCCCCGTCCGACCAGAAACAGACCCGAGCGTACGGCGCGTCGCGTTCCGCGCGCGCCTCAAAGAGCCATCAGACCACCACAGATGGGGCCCAATAGGGCCGATGCCGATTCGGAGTCGCGGAGAACCTAACGGGTAACCGGGGCTCCGGCTCGACGTGCAGGAGAAGGAACGGGGTGGTTTTTAGTCAGTAAGAGTCTGACACTCCCTTCCGCCTCACCCAGGCGGGAGCAGTCATTCGATGATTTTCCCCCTTAAAAAAAAAAAAAATGTGGGGCAGTGTATTTAGTTTAAATGAAAATAATTCAAGTGACAAAGTTTCAGAACTTTAGTTTATAGTTTTTTATTCTTCAGACACCATCTACGGGTAGGGTACCTACCTAAAAAGGAATATGCTTATTAGTAGGTTTATATCGTTAAAACACTATTGTGAACAACACACAGTACTAATAAATGGATCAAATCGGAAGCTAGTTAATTTAACAAAATTCGTTTAGATTGTTATAACCGATCCTTTATCCTAGGGCAGAGTAAAATATATCCCCGTTTAATAAAGTTCTTTTAATAATTTGGTTCTTATTTGGATAGAAGAATTATTGCTAAGAGGTTGAATGAACATTAGATCTCATATTTAGCAGTCAAAATTAATGCAACTGCGTAGCTAGTTGATGACTTTCAAACTATTAAATAATATTTATATTTAAGTATTTCACAAAGTAATACAAGGCTGTGTTATCATGTTACTTATGGATAATATTTTAATATAATCCATATTGCGCATATTGTAGACGGCGCCGAGGTGCAGTCGCAGTGAAAGTAAAGTCTAGTATAAAACAGCCACATTTAAAGCAAATACCGCAATGAACTTCGACATGTGAGCTAGGATCTTAGAGGCAGATGGCACGTCGTACGACATATCCATACTATGTATTTACGACTGAGTATATTACTTTATGACTACACTACGGTTCTAAAATATAGAGGCTATTGAAACATTTGTAGAGTAGTTATTGTAGGTAGGTACCTATTACATTCGATGCTGGGATGATCTACAATAACCATGTGCTATTTCTATAGAAATTTTACATAACAACATGTCCGTACAGGGGTATTCTGCACATATAAAAACCAATTAACCAAGTACCAAAGGTACCGCAGGCGAATTTGGGGTTCCATAAAACACGCAGTCTGTATAATGTCTATGTACTTAAAATAACACTCACTAGAGATACCATGAACAACTTATTACATACAACATATTTATATCTCATACTATGTAAATATCTTGTGTCGCTGCAAGTGTAGAGAAATTTTTCTGGACAAAAGAAACAAGATGTCACAATGGTAATTCAATTTAGTTACTACAAGTTTTAGAAAAGGTTTCCTTATTGTAGTTAAATATAAATAATCACAGAGTGAAAGTTCTTTCATAATGACCCTTTTCTTATAACCACTTAATACCCTTTTAAAGCATTCAACTACAAACTTACGTGAACATTTTATTTTGAAGTCGATATAAATCATTCATAAACTGAAATAATACCTCCGACCATTATGAGTGATAAATAATCGATTCAGATTTATCGTCGGCCTTCTATTTGCGAAGTTGTGAAATAAAGTAATCAGATATTCAGCATAGACATACGTTGGTTCATTTATCGATATTTTATTGCCATCACTTATTGGTAAGCTCACGTCTGCGTATGTGTTAGGACCTAGTTATGTCGAGCCGCAGTGCACGTCACTTGCCATCAGTTGCAGCAAAGGTGCATTGATGACATCTGTGCACTTTAATCTGCCCCTACCGACCGTTATGATATTGCACAAGTTATATAACTTCTCCATTACGTCGTGTAAGGCATCGGTAATGACTTCTAATGATCCAATAGTAGCCATCGTTTTAGTTTTGGCGATTGGTGTCAAACGTTTTGTGTCATCATTGGTACATTGAAGGAAAGGCATTAAGGCTGAAGGAACCTCAATAAAATAAATTCTACCTTTGATGTGCAACGTGTTGAGGGTTCGATTCCCGCGTAGAACGAATCTGTGTGTGACGAAATTACGGTTCCGGATCTGGGTGTGATGTGTACTTATATTTACATATGTACATGCACTCTCACGACACAGGACTCTTAGAAATCTTAGTATTTGAAATACTTAGGTATATTTATACTAAAAGTAAATAATTCTTCAGTTTAATTATCAAGGTTCCAAAATACTTTTACTATCAATCAATAGCTTGATAGTAATGTTGAAAAATATTCTTTGAATTGTTTTTCAGATTAATTACTTTAATCAAGGTCTTATTTACCCACAGTTACTGGATTGAATACCTACTTGGCTGTGTCTCTGGTGTACGTGGTATGCATATTCTACGCAACACAGGTTAGCATTTTATCAAAATGTTTTTTTAACAACTTCTTCTAATAAATTTTAATTAACTATAAGCTGCATAAGTACACACCTATACTCATCTAACTTACAAAATACCCAGGCATTGTGAAAGGGTGTAATTCTTATTAAAATGGGCTAATAAAGTTGTAGTGTGATTTACGTAACATTCATATGTTAGTACATTAAAATCTCGCCTTTGTTCCATGGAGGTAGGCAGAAACCACAAAGTGCTATCTACTCCGGCAATTAACGTCGCAAAGCGGCACTCTGTAACACCTTTCGTCCCGTGAGAACAGTTAATGTGCTGTGAAGCGAGCGGGTTTGTTACGAAAAGGACTTAGGTTTAGAAAATGTAGAACTACGAAAAAAGTGCTACTACTGATATTTTTTTTAAAGTAGTAGCCCGGTGTCTGGAAATGTTCCCGGTATATGGCAATAGGCTCACCCCCAATTACATGGGACTTGATGGGACTCATGACATAAACAGTAAAAAGATGGTGTTATATTGTACAGTGGCCTTAAGTGCTGTAATGTGCATATCTACCTACCTTTTCGGGGACGATCTCCGGCCACCGTAAGCGCGGGCCTGCGGGCGGCGAGCATGGGTGGCTCGCAGTCCTACCAGAACCAGACCCGAGCGTACGGCGAGTCATGTTCCGCGCGCGCCTCAAAGAACCATCAGACAACTACGGATGGGGCCTAATAGAGCTGATGCCGATACGGAACCGCGAAGAACTTAACGGGTTACCGGGACTCCGGCTCGAAGTGCATGAGTAGGAACGGGGTGGTTTTTAGTCAGTACCTAAGATTCTGACACTCCCTCCCGCCTCACCCAGGTGAGAGAAATCATTCGATGATTTTCCCCCCTTAAAAAAACCTTTGGGGATAAAAGACGTGATGTTGTCTAATGAAAAAAGTTCTTCAAATATGCTTTTTTTATATTGCAGGGTGGCATGAAAGCAGTAATCATGACGGACTCTTTTCAATCAGCTGTTTTAATCGGTTCTTTGGCAGCAGTACTAGCAATGTCTTCGACACAAGTTGGTGGATTCGACATAGTCTGGGATCACGCCTGGCGGACAGATAGGCTACATTTTTTTGAGTAATTAAACATTATCTATTTTCTTATACGTATCCATTAAAAAAATCTATTCTCGGAAGAATGATAGAGACACTGTTCGTCAAAAGTAACCTAGGTGTCCCTTGCAAAGCTAAATTATTCATTAATTTCCCTTTTCTTTCATCTAAATAACTTCATTAGCGTAAACCGACAATTATCGAGCTTGACCTTATAGGTACTTAGTATTAAATTAACCCTATTCACACTCACGTGATCCACCTCATAAATAATTATCTACATTATTATTGAACAAATTGTTCTTAAATAGATACGTATCTTAAATTTTATAACCGACACCTGCCACACATTTTAAGAAATTGCAAAATTGGTGTATTAGCACTATAATCAGGTAATGAAAGAAAATCAGAATACTGTCTATTATAATTCCGTTCGTGTTTAGTCTTTAAACTAAACGTGCCTTCACGTAAATAAGTAGCTGGTACTTATTATACCATTGTAGTACATACTATACCTACTAATGTATGTAAGTGGGTGACTTCAATAGGCACCGGTATGTTGTTGTGCTTGAAGTTCGCTCACCTCGTAAACAAAACATTATGTAACCGATACAAGATTAGGCGATTCTTGGAATTCTTGTTGGTATCAGATCAAGTGCATTTTTTCGGTTACTGCGTGTCGTCATACACAGTCAAGTAGCTTACTGTTACTGTTATTTAAAAAGTTTTTTTTATGTTTAGCATGGATCCCGACCCTACTGTCCGTCATTCATTTTGGTCGGTGGTCATAGGCGGAACCATGTACTGGGTCAGCATGTTCTGCGCGAACCAGGCTTCAGTACAGAAGTACTTGTCGGTGGAACGTGTAGCACAAGTTCGAGTGGCTCTCTGGGTGTCAGCCATCGGCCTGATCGCCGTCTACTCAGTAAATTTCATCACCGGTGCCGTCCTTGCTGTTCATTACGCTGACTGTGATCCGATTCAGGTAAACACGCACCTATTTCAATACTAAATCAATGCAGCCTTGTCACGTTACTCTATATACTGATCACCATTACTAAGTCAGTTGTCGTTTAATGTTGAAACCCGACTTTTTACTAAAGTGTGGTCGACAAAATTGGTACCTAGCTACAGTAAACCTACCTACGGTAAACTTTCAATTAATAATATAATAGTAATGTAACGTTACCTTCAGGCTGGAGTTATCAACGCATCTGACCGTCTTCTGCCACTTTACGTCGTGAAGCAGCTAGGAGGCTCGCGTGGAATACCAGGCTTCTTTGTCGCAGGAATCTTCGCAGCCAGTCTCGGGTAAAGTAAAACGTCACAAATTTAAAAATAACACTAAGAAAATAAACTTTAATAATTCTCGAAATTAAATCAAACAGTTCGGCAATCAAAACTTACACACCGAAACGTACGGAAGCGTCTTCATAACTGACAGAACTGGCAGTAGCCATGATACAATTTTAAAATTAAACTGGAAAAGTCCAGTTGGAACATGGGTATTCAAGACTGGACTTTTCTAGTTTTAATTTGAAGGTATATATCATAGCGTACGCGGGCCGAAATCCTAATTTATTTGCTGAATAGCACTCAGACTTATTTAGTACATACATTTATTATTTATGGATGTTGTCTATATGGATCTAATTAGCCATAGGATTGATCATTAATTATACGTAGGTACGTAGGTACGTTAGTATGTACCTACTTACGTGTAACTAATATTACGAACCGGACCGGTTATCAGCAGTCAATAAATCTACACGTATTTACTATTAATTTTCAGAACTGTAGCATCGGCACTGAACTCGCTAGCTGCTATATTATGTCAAGATCTTGCTACCGGACTTCTTGGAATAACGCTGCCAGAACACAGAGGAGCAGCAGTAAGTTATAAAGATATTTCACTCATTAAACGTTCCTTGGCAAACAATTTAGTCAATTTATCTTTCATTTTCTTTAGATAGCTCGCTGGGTGTGCCTGGCTTGTGGTCTGGTGTCTTTTGGACTGGTGTTTGCAGTGGAACGACTCGGACCAGTACTGCAACTAGCACTCTCCTTCAATGGGATGGCGGGTGGTGTCGCCCTAGGACTGTTCACACTTGGCATGTTCTTTCCGTGGGCTAATGCTAAGGTTTGTTGCCGTCAGCCTTACCTACTAATATCTTAATCATATCCTCGTATCTAGGTTGAGTGATTGGAAACATATACCGTCACAAAATTTGATAATACGCTTTTCTTAATGCAGGGAGCCGTAGCAGGCGGTGTGTTTGGTCTAGTGGTTGTGGTAGCGGCGGGCGGAGGTGCTCAACTGGCTCAGCTTTCGATGCCCCGACTACCTGCCTCTACAAGTGGCTGTGTAGCGCCCTACAACATGACTACGCACATGACTGTAAACCCAGAGTAAGGACAATCTGATTAGACTGCCTATAATGTGCAACACAAATAAATAAAGTCTAGATCTACATAGACCTTCTTAACTCTGATTTTTTTAATGGCTTTATTATTTTCAGTGAAAATCACGATGACGCAGTTTTTTGGCTGTTCCGAGTGTCATATCTCTGGTACTCCGGATTAGGATGTGCAGCTACGTTAGTGGCTGGGTTGATCGTGTCGGTTCTGACCGGTGTCACAGACCCAGCGCAAGTACCCATAGATCTGATATCACCACCGATCGTTACACTACTCAATTCGCTGCCTAAAAGATTTAAGGTAGGTTTACTTAATTTTAATTGGTAAAATGGTTACCGACCCACTGAACAATATTTTAATAATAACTAAACTTTTGTTGTACAATGATATCTCGTGGAACCTTATAAGTAATTCAAGCTTCTTACTTTACAACAGCGAGTTTTAAGAGTACCAACTCGGCTTGGTTCGGAGCGTCGGCGTAGTTCGAGTGTCCGTCCACCTGGAGTAGCTGACGACAAAGATACCCGACGTCGACGCCGCCTGTCGGAAATGGCTGGAGGAGTGTTTTACAGCGACACTCCCACACTCACAAGGGGCTACGACAACTTCGCTCTTGGTCTCGACCCAGAAAAGCCCCCACCAGATGACCGTACCAAGTCCAATAGTATTAAATTTGATCCTTCTTCAGATAATCATCTGCCTGAAACATCGACTTGTTGAACTTTTGCAAGTAGCAATAGGTGTTTAGGTACTAGAGAATGACTTATAAAATCAGCTACACAAACTCCATCCTCGTAACGAAAGTTTTTTAACAGGTCCGTAGGTAGGTAAATAAATTTTTGTTTAAATATCTACTTAATTAGTTATTTAAAAAAGCTGAAAATAAACAATATTTTCACAGTTTTAAGTAGGTTCAGGTAAGAATAAAGTAACTGAATAATTTAACATGTAAGAGTAGATTACCTTTAGATAACTGTATTGTTAGTGATTGCTAAAGTTAGCTTTAAACATGATTTTAAGCAATATTTTCTCCTTATGTTAGACACGTCCAATCTGTACTGTAAGCAGCCAAGTAGGTAAGTGAGCTACTGAGTAACAAACAAATCAGTGAACCACATCCATCCAGTCCTGTCCTTATTCAGATTATTATCTACTAGCGACGCCCCGGCTTCGCACGGTTGCAATATGCATGTATTATACATATAAACCTTCCTAAAGAATCATTATATTTATTAAAAAAAAACTGCATCAAAATCCGTTGCTTAGTTTTAAAGATCTAAGCATAGATAGGTACATAGGGACAGACAGACGGCGGATAGCGACTTTGTTTTATACTATGTGACTAATTCCTTGGTAGTAAATAGGTAGGTACTGCCTACGGGAAGAATTTTTTTGACAATGTAGTATTATTAACTGGTCGCTAGGTACACTTGCTCCTCCTATGGGGCCGATAAAAACGAGAAGTTTCTTTTGGCGAATCATCACATATTATCATATTTATTATGATAAGTAGATAACACATGTGTACCTACCTAGCAAGTAGTCACTTTTCAGGAACGAATGGTTCAATTTCCAATTAGGTATTTTTCTAGTACACGACACGATAAAGTGAATATGTGATTAAAAATACTTACCTATTTCTTTTCTCTCTGTAGGTATAAAAAATATTAATCAATGCTGTTGACTTATATTTGGAACGAATTACAACTTGCGAAATTTAATTAAACGTTTTCTGTATCTGACTGTTATCACAAACATGTTTTAAATTTTATCCGCGACATGTAAAATATTTTAATTCATACAAGCCATTTGTTGCATGCGCAGGGTACGTGTTCATAACGCTTGTTGCCTGGTTATTACAATACCAAATACAATACGCACATTGAGATTTTATCAGTGCATTACTTAGTTTAGTACTTAAGTTGTTTTGTAAATATACACATCTAGCAATTAAATTGACATTAATTTAACAATACCTACAAATAATTTATGATAATTACACATGAAATGATGAAGCTGAAGATTGTTAGTACTTAGTATTATGCAATATAACAACGTCTATATATAGTTTTATATGAATTAAAATAAAATGCCTTATTTTTCTTTATTATTTATTTATCATTATCATTTTTAATGTACACTTATTATAACTTTGAAGGCTGACCTAAAAGGAAACCCTAGATGTATTTGTCAAATACCAAGTTGTGGTACATGTTTACCTATATTTGCACTTGTTTATAATATTCATATTGCAATGATAAATGAAAATTATATTTATAATACAATGCTAAAATCACTTCACCTGCCATCCAAGTGGATGATTTTAGCATAACATTTAAAATAAACTAACATAAATTTGGGCCAATAAAAGAAGTCTCTGCTTAATATATTAATAGATATTAAATAAGTATATAGAATAACAAACATATTATTTCACGATAATAAATCTTGGTGCTGCTGTGATTGTTGTTGGTGTATTTCCTGCATAGTGGAGACAGGCAGTGTGGCGCTGACTGTGATAGATGGCATTCCTGGCAATGACACCGGAGTGACAACGGGCAGTCCACTAGAGATTGGAGGTGGCTGTATTGGCGTTTGGGCAAAGTTGCTCATGTCAAAAGTGGGAACTAGGTTTGTCGCGGCTTGAGGATATGCTGCAGATGTGGGTACTTGTGATGCAGTATAGTTTGGCATAATCGGTATATATGGTTGAGGCTGGTTCATTGGGATACCAGGTAAGTTAGGCAGTGGAGCTGGAGGTTGCATATTTGACACAGATGGTATACTTCCCAGGTTAGTTAATGTTGCATCTGCTAAATCTGAAAAATAAATAGTGATATTTTAAAATTATATTATACTAAATCCTAAAATACCACAGATACCTAAATAAACTATACTAACTGCTAGAGTATGCCGCCATATTGGATACAACTGATTGTGCTTGAGACATGGGCGGCTGTGAAGAAAAAACTTGCTGTCCTGTTTGTTGTTGAGGAGTAATAGGCGGAGGTATGGTAGTCACACCTCCAGGAGGGGACACATAGCCACCAGGGTTGACCATGGGAACTCCGGACAGGAAAGGAGGAGGTACACCCTGTGGATACTCTGCTTGAACATTAGACACTTGAGGTGCTGACATCAAAGGAGTTTTATCATCATCTATGTTTAAATTTTGTACACCTGGTATCAGATTCTGTTGAATGTTAACAGTGTTGGACCCCTGAAAAAGTATAAAATATGATTGAAATTTAAAAAATAAAAATATACAATTATATTTTTGGAAATTTAATGAAGTATTTTACTTACCATTGGCACACTAGCTGAATAAGGTTGGTTTGGCGGTAATGTCTGTACACTTCTTATTGGAATCCTATGCAGGTAACCATAGCCTATTCCACACCCTAGGCTGCCTTCTCCACCCCAATTATGATTAGGTGTGATGTGCACTTCTCTGCAAGTATCATCATTTACATTATACACATAGAGCTTCAGAGCTCTACCCTCATGAGCCTCAATCAATGTAAATAGATCTTCACTCTCATGCATGATCGAGTCTGCTCCTATTATATAATCAGAAAATGGTCTTAATCCAGCCAGCTCTGCAGGTGACGACGGATGCACCTCCTGTAACATTAAAATATATTAACTCGTCGAGTACCGGTTTTATAGACACAATTAAAGAACAATAGTTCGCGGTCACCGGTGACCGCTTGGTGTTTGACAGTTTAAAGTAAATTAAGCTATTTAAAATAAATATGCAAATGTTTATTATTGGTGTAAAAAAAGATAATGAGTCTTTAGTGCTTTTGATAAATATCAATTTTGTTTGTTGATTATGATTATTTTCCGGTTTATTACAAACACAACTTACCAATACATGCCAGACGTTTTCATTAGCACCTTCAAAAGAACAAAATCGAATGCTAACCCCAAGTAGGCCCTGACCACCCCAATTAGCACTTGGGGTAATCATAACTTCCCTGACCATTTGGGTTTTACTACTGTAAATTAACATTTTAATAGTTTTGTCGACATTTTTCTTTAACAACTCCTTCAGGGTATCATTATCCTGATCTAGTCTAGTGTCTTCAATAGCTACGATAAAATCAAAAAAAGCTTCCAGATTCGCCTTTTGACCTGGGGATCCATCTTGAACCTTAAACCAATAAAGTAAGTTTTAGAAATTGACTAATTTATAAAGAAAAGAAATAAAATACCGTTCCTCACAAAACAACACAAACCCGCAAAACATGATATCCTTCAGAGCCGCCTCCTGGCACTTCAGTACTATGGGAGGAACCCATTGATTAATTATAAAAGTGCAAGTGCCTATTACCGGCAAATTTTATAATTTAATTAAGGTTTTATTATTTTTTCGATAAACTAAAATTCCTTTACAACCGCAACAATTTTGGCATTGACATTTCTATTACGTGGCATGAAGTTGCAGTTGCATACACATCACTAGTCATAAACAACTGACAAAATTAGACTTTGTTAATCGACTAAATCTAAGAATAAAATTATGTGATTTCCCAACGGCAGTTGAACAACTGCTAAAATAAGAATATCTGATTTATCTTGTTACTACCATAGTTGTTTAACTTGTGTCCTTCGCACGCAATAATCAATTATTATCATTTAGTTTAGACTACTTGCACCGGTGACATGACATCCACAGGGCGCAAGGCGCACTTCCACAGCCACATCAGCCACTGTCCACAACACTTATTTTATTTAACAAGAACTTTAACAAGAAATTTTAATACTTGCCATCTTGCCACTTGGTAATTAGAGATATTAAAATTTTGAGCTTACAAGTAAAGCTCAAAAATCTCAAGAACTAACTATGGCTTATAGAGGTGACCAATGATAGAGTAAAATAATATTAGACCAATGTTGTCAATGTCAGCTGTCATGTCACACTAATGATAATGAATTCACAATTTGTTTTCATGGACCCAATTTTCTCACCATTCCAGGAAAAAAATAAAGTGAATTGCCTATTGTTATAAATAATGTTTGGCTCTACAATCGTGCTATTGTTACAAGGTTTAAGTTACTCCTAAATTGCCATTACTTTTTTATTAGAAAGGTATGTCATCAGTCACCATAACACAAGAGACTATTCATTAAATTGTATCGATTTTGTTTCAGAAGTTTAATTTGTTTCAGTTTATCCAAACAGCATCTCATATTAGATGATATGTTTATCTTTATAAACTTAAAAAAATGTCAGTAATTTAGCCTCCATGGGTGTGGCAGTGGACATGCAAGTGAATGAATGCATAATACCGAAATCAAGCCTGATGTTTTTCTATAACTAATGTGCGTGACGACTAAAAAACTGCAAAAACTTTAAACTATATACAAAAACCAATGTGTTTGTCTTAACTAAGAAAATAGTTAAAAAAAAGATATTATTTCAAAAGTTACATTGCAAAAACTTTAATACTCACCGAAAAGAAATCATTCTCATTTCTTCAGGTAGAAACAGACAAATATCATAATGACTGAATGGAAGCAACTGATATCGGAGTGGCTGAATGAGTATGCTGCACTTCTGGACAATGAAATCAAAAGCTTTGCAGCTGAACACGAACATAACCATGAAATAGCTACTGCTATCTTTAATCTGTTCTACAGTGAAGATGACAGTGGGACTAACATAAACAAATTGGAGAATGAATCTGAATATGAACAGGTATTTACTGTCAAAAACTACATATATATCAGATTATGTAATGGATGGTCAACTAGACAGTCTCTTTACTAAAACATTTTATAATTTAATAACAATTACCATACTTGTATACCACTTCTATACTAATTTGTTTAAAATAAAAGAAATTGAACTTGTCAGTGCAGAGTCATTAGCAATGACTCTGCATGAATTTTTGAAACAACTGATATTACTTTTTGTAATAAAGCTACAAAACAGTACATTTATACGGCTAATTAAAAAAAAACTTGAATATTATTTCAGATATTGGAAAATGTTTGTACCCAATTATTCAGCTTCTACAGATCAAAGGAAGTTGAGTTACAAAGGTTCACACTGCAGTTTGTTCCTACTCTTATTTATAACTATCTGAGCTCAGTAGCTCAAGGTAGTAAAAAAACTTGGCGCTGCATAGAAACTTTATTGATTGGTAAGTATTTTTTTGCTGTAGTCTGAATTTTTAGTATAAGAATATATTATTTAAACTGTCAAACACCACACGGTCAACAGTGACCGCAACCTATTGTTCTTTAATTGTGTCTATAATGACAGTACTCAAAGAGTTAAAATACTTTGAAATAATATTACAGGCCTGTATAACTATGAAGTTGTGGATGAAGAGGGCAAACCCAAAGTAGTTCAATTCAGACTTCCATCATTAGCGCAAGCTTCCATATATCACGAGGTAATAACATGTTATTGTTAATAATAAAATATTTAAATAATGACATAAGTATATTTGTTGAAAATGATTAAATTTGTGAAAAATATTTGAAAGTTTTTATTCAATAATATAAAGAACATTTACATTGAAGTTATGTCTATTTACCACACTTTCATTTTTTATTTTCCAGCCATTATCTTTGGGGTCCCAGTTCTTAACTGAGAGTGCATTACGGAGGTGGGAAGAGTGCAATACTAAACTAGTGAGTTGGGGCCCATTCCCACAAGTTGAAGTGATCAATGCCCAAAACCGATTGAAAGTAATGTCAGCACTACTATTTATTTACAATCGCCAACTGAGTTTATTACCGAAACTTGCTTTGCGTCATTTCTGTATTGCTGCATCAAGGTAAGGAATAAATAAAGTGACAATGTTTAGTTTAGATAGTTCATAAGTATAGTTTAGATTGAAGTTAAGTTAATTGCATTCTAAGTTTTAAGGAAAAAAGATAAATCAATAGCATTAAGTTTATCTTTTGTCATGCATTTATTTATTTTTAAATAAACCTTACACTAGGTTTGTCTCCTGTATGGTGGGTATGTTTAAAAACATACAAGTTCACATACACATTACACCCAGACCAGAAACAACAATTTGCGTATCACACAAAGAGTTGTTCCGTGCGGGAATCGAACCCGCAACACGTTGCGCCCAGCCACGGCACCAACCGTGCAGTCTATATTTATAGCATATATTTTTTCTGCCTTATTTTTTAAATTACATTAACTCGTCGAGTACCGGTTTTATAGACACAATTAAAGAACAATAGGTCGCGGTCACCGGTGACCGCTTGGTGTTTGACAGTTTAATATGATACTATACTTGTTACAGAATAGTCACACAAGGTTTCAATAAGAAAGTAACTACTGCATCTGGAAAACCAGTACCAAGAATACCAGTGTCGTCAAGTTTCTTATTGGAAATGATTGAAGGCGCATATTTTGCTATGTTCAACGAATTCTACACACTAGCTCATCAAGCAGTCCAAGATATAGATCAGAGAGCGCAGTATGAACTATTCCCTGATGTAATGTTGGTTACTAGTGCTGTGATAAATTCTTTAAAAAATAATCCTTCAGGTATGTACCCTGATTATATTCATCACCCATATTATTTTACTGCTTCATTGGTTATTGGTTACTAAGTATGAACTCTAGGGGTCAAAAAAAAGGGTAAGGTAATATTATTGAGGTTTTCCATTTTGAAATTCTCAGTAATAGAATGGAGTGTGGAATTGAGCCCGAGTTGTGACCTGTATGATTGATATAATGAGCGAAAAGTATACTGGAAGTACATCCTCCTTCCTTCCCCTTCAGGGTGTAACAGGTGTGATGACAATTGTTTTCTACCATAGATAATATATAATTTATATTATTAAGCATTTGCAAAACACTTCTAGAATAATCAAAATGGTTTATTGTAAGAATACATCAGTTACGTTTATGACCTTTTTTCTTACTTATTATGTTTAACCCTTAACTACCTAGCATCTATTTTGTGACACTACCACCTAGCCTAGCATACGTCTGATAGACCCCGAAACCAAATACCGACATAGCGATATAATGTAACATTTTGTATGATACGGACTGGAGAAACATAGTTTACGAATGTTTTAATAAATATTCAAATTATAAAAGAATACATATTTCTCCAACATTTACTTTAAATAAAAGAATACATATTTCTCCAACATTTACTTTAAATCTTAACTAAATAGTAAACACTCCTTATTAACGAATTTATTTTTAAGTGAGATCCATTATACCTAATAATTTATAAAAAGAGGCAATTATTTGTCCTCGTTTAAATAGTAAGTATTTAAACAAGGACAAATAATTACCTCTTATCTTATCAATAATCAAAAAAAAAAACATTAAGTATCTTTTCTTAATGGCAACCAAATTTCAACAAAATAGCAAGGCTCAAAGTTGCGATCTGTCACGACTGAAAAAACAATTTATTTCAGTATTTTATACACAGCAAAGCTTTGTGTTGGAAATATAAGTATTTTGTTTTACTTTACAGTAGTAGTTCTTACACACTTTGGCGTAGGTACACCAGTCCATTACAGTCCAATCCGGAACTTTTTCTAATGCATGATCTACTCCTGCATGACATCCTCCTGATTAAACATCGCAAAACACGTCATTAAGTTAATTTTCATCGCCTCGCCCTTTGCCAGTCTCCGACATTTTCCGCAATGAAAACCATATTTACAACAAAAGTGTAAAATGAAAAAGTTACGTAACCACCTGGCATACGTCTCTCGGACCCGCAACGAGAGTGAATATAATATATTTACCAGAGTTAAACGCGTGAATGTCTGACTACATCGAGTGTTTGGACGATGCACTAGAACGCAAGGAACTACCTAACAAGGTCGTATGAAACTTAGACACAGCAATATTTCCAAAATTAAATCTGTCGGGGTCTGTGAAACGTATGCTAGGTGGTTAAGGGTTAAATCGCCACTCATGGTAGAATATCACCTTCGAAAACATACAAATACTACATTTGTAATTTACTCATTTAGTTGTATTAATAGAAGGTTGCTCAGCATCAAAATATGTATTTAAGTACTTATATATAAAGATATAAGAACATTATAGACCAGTATCAATTACCATTATCTTAGTAATTGTACTAAAATCTGAATCATGTACTTGAAAATAATGGCTGAGTGATGACTTCATAAAATAACTACGTACGATATGATTATAATTTGCAATAGAATCAAAAGTGAAAGTCACGATTCTTTACGTGACTGGACCTTTTTTAAAGATAAAATATTCTTATACAAAAACTTTTATCCATTTGGTCCTCGAGTGCCTTAAAACTGTAATCAGCACCGCTCTTTCTACTGTGTAATGGAGGAGTGAAGTTTGTGCAACAATGGATGTCTTCTGTCTGATTATGGACACGAAATTAACGAAATTTGTTTTTTTTTTTCAGGACAACCATGCGACGGGCCCATGGGTATTAGTGTAGCGTTGTCCCCTGCGACTACTACTGTGACCATGTCGAAGTCCATGATCACTAATGCATCATTCCGTACGAAGAAGTTACCAGGTGAGAATGAGTAGTAGAATAATTCCTATAAAATATACTGAAGTAGTCATACAGTAACTCAGAATATCTACAACCTATGTAGTTACCTACTTAGGGTAGGAAAATTTAGACAATTATTTTGCTAAGGTAGCAATCGCAATTTCAAGTATAATACATAATAAGATTCCCTTCTGGATTAACATTTTTGCTAGCGACAGGTTGATCAAGGGCAGTGTAGTCCATAATGGACCATCTCGCCATCTACAAACTATAAAAATATAAATCAAATTGGACTCAAATAATTTTCTGAAATAAGATCACCTGAGTAAAGATTATAAGTAATATGACATTGTATTACAATATTTTTGGTTTACGTACAGATGAACATAACTGCATGCTGCCAAATGCATGCTCCTCGCCTCATACTTTGGATTGTAGCTTGTGGACTAAAAACTTTGATTGTATGTGCAGTGATATTGATAATTATACATACTATCACAAACTTAATACACGCCACTTTATTGGCTTACTAGAAATATAAAAATAAGCTAATTATATTAATCACTGAGTTTAATTGAAATAAACTAAAATTTACTAAAATTTAGCTTTTATAGGAATATATCCGCAGTGCACTTTAAAAACTAATTACAGCACATTGTGGCGTTTGCTGTTGATCAAACACGATAATAATATAATACAGCTTTTAGGAACCATTGCATAAATAAAGTCACGCTTCTTAGAAGTTTTTTATAATCGAAATAAATAATAATATATTATTGTTAACTTTCATGGAATTGTAAAGAAAAAATTACATTTCTTGGTCACTTACATTACATAGTTACACAAGCTATTCATTGCCTACAACCACCAACCACCAAAAACTATATCACTAAGTGATTGTCTAGAACTCAAGACTCACACTAATTAAACCATTTAATACATTGTGAATGTTTCTTAGTTTATATAGGCAGTAGAAACAAAACTAAGCATTGTGGTGTTTTTGACTTGTTTTACTTAAATTCAGCAATGCATACTTATGTGTTTTTTTCAGATGACATTCCTATTCAAGCTGGACAAGCCGTAGCAACTGATTCAGCCGATATGCTGACTGCAATCACCGAGGAGTGTGAAGCCGAAGCTGCTCCAATACAGCGTGGCGGTGCAGTCCGGAGTTCCAAACCCAAATTAAGTTCATTTCCTGTACTCGGTAAAAAGACAAAAGATAGCAAAGACAAAAGCGCGAATTCGGGCGAGAAAAAAGTTACACTTAAGGAGTCTTCCAAAGGTATTTGGAATTCACTGAGCGGTGGCGGCGGCGGGGATATGGTAGATGCACAACAGAAGTCTAATGTTACTGACGGTTCAGTAGAGGCGAATGGCAGCATGAAAGATGAGAAAATGTCCATGACTTCAATGCATAATAGCACTGAAAACTCTGACACACGGTCGCAAGTCACTTCCGACTCACTGGATATTGAAACAACTCCACGCTTTGCGGCAATGCAAGTCAGTTCAGTATAACTTTATAAAGTTTGTGGTGTCTGATTGTTAGAGAGTTAATTTGGTGATGTGATAGAATATATTTCCAGGTGATAGCAAATTCTGTGTAATCTTGAAAAAAAAGCTAAGGTCATGTTGGAAGTGGTTCCTTGTTACTTTGGTTAAAGTTGTTAAAGTTGTATGTTAAATGAAAGGATGCAATATTGGAAGTATTTATTTATAGACTCTGTTGTGCAAATTGTTTGTTACAAACTCATCACTCAATATAATTATGTACCTTACATAAATTGTTCAGAATAAAATTCTTATTTAATGATGAAATGTTATATATTTTTCCGTAACATTTTCCTGTTATGTTTACCTATACTACACTTAACAAAATACGCGTGTAGGTACCTAGTACGGATTTTTCACATTGCTAAAAATAATCCCAATAAAACAATTAATATTAATAAATTATTTACTTTAAGTAACTCGTTAATCAGTTGCACTTACAGATTACTCCACAAACACAATACCGCTGTGTAATAATTACAATCTATATAAATAAAAATGTATTTCTGTTCGTTAGTCTCGCTAAAACTCGAGAACGACTGAACTAATTTGGCTAATTTTGGTCTTGAAATGTTCGTGGAAGTCCAGGGAAGGTACAAAAGATGAGAAAATGGTGTTTTAGGCGGTACGAAGGTTGCCGGGTCAGCTAGTAAAATCTAAAAATCTAAATCAATAAATATTTTGATATTTTAAAAGACTAGTGTTGCGAAATGCATTATCATATCATACCTTTCATAATTATGTGTATCATATTTTCCTTATTTAGTACAAGTTGCCAGTATGTACCAAAATAGGGAAAATTACTCGACCCAAAACCAGCCGTGGCTGGGCAACAGTTCGTTTATTAAAACGAAATCTATTTTTGATTCTGAGTTTTATTATAATTTATTTGGAGATCTTTGTCTCTTAGAGGCATTTGACAAATATTTAGGTATGTTAAGTATGCTATCAGGCACTTGCACTACTAACAAACTATTTCTAAGAAATATAATCACAATTTGTTTGTAATAAACAATATGAGTACCTACGTAACGTCAGTAGGTACTTTAGTTCTCGTTAATTTATCTTTGTTTCTTGCCACTTTGCTCCTGAAGGTTACCGTTATCACATCTCAATACTTATAACATTTTGTGTTTATTCATTTATAGAAGATAATATTTATTTAAGAAACTTTTACTGATATAAATAATAGTCATAGTAAAACACATTTCAGTCGCATTTGGTAGGCTATTAGGTTCACGGTGAATTTCAAAATGAAGTGCGTACTTGCATTGAGTGTGTTCGTGGTAATTGCAATTTCGTCGTGTTTAGCTAGTGACCTAATAATTGGGACCAGCTACAACGCCCGCTTAGCATGGCAGCATAAATCAGACTATATGGGCATCCCATTCAAGAAGAGAGTAAAGGAAGTTTTCTACTCAGATCCTGGCCAACAAATAATCAAGGTAATGGTAATTATTTTTAAAAGTCGGTTGCTGGGAGCCAGTTAAAAAGTCAAAGTTGGGTGTCCAGACTACATAGATGGTGCAGTGACAGGGAAACTAATTTCAACTCGCGGGTTCAACTCCTGCGTCAGTTAAAAAGTGACGATTAGCTGTAGCTACTCTTACTCTTACATCTATGTACTTAGAGGTGATTAGGTACCTAAAAATGTGATCTGATTTCACATTCAGTGAATTATGATGGAGGACATACCGCATGGAAGTCTGCATTTGCCGGATGGAAGCAGTCTGCTTCCTTACCTATGTCTATGTATAGGTCGCTAAGTATCAGAAGTTGTCATTGGTCATAATTTACATATCACTTGTAAAACGACACCAAGGTATGTTACATAGTTCCCTATAAGGTCAGAAAACAAAATCTAACTGCTTCTTTTCCTATTTCAGGGCATCATAGCGAGAGACATCGACCACACGTCAGGGAGCGCCACAGTCACTGCCGGTGGTGTCGGTTTCAGTTTCGCCAACATTCGTCTTAAGAGTGAACGTGGCAGTGGACTGAATTACCAAATCGAGATCTATGTATAATATTCGATAGCGGTCGCTATCTCCCTACTTTGTATAATTATTAAATAAACAGAGGTCAAGTTTGCTGTAATAATCATGTCTCATTTTTAATACACAATAGTTTCAATTTCTATATATCGGTCGTTTCTATACTAGACTATGTATACCTATTGGTCTTACAGACCTTATATAGGTCATACAGAAGACTCACAGGTACGTATACTATTAGGTATATTGATTGTGTTAATGTGATTGTGACAGTCCCTGGCAATAGCGCTCATAAATTATTACCCAATGTCAAATGTCTAAAAAATCAATACCTGTCTAACTACTAATACCGAGTTGTACCTATGTACTACCCATCTACTTATGTGCAGTCAAAATGTGTATTTGTAAGTTCCAAAGTAAATAGAATCGGGATCGCGCTATCGTTTGTGTAACACAGATGTACCTACCTACTTTTGAACTCAATAGTCAATTGACAAACAGATAGCGCATGCCTCATCGACCGTTTACTTAGAATTGTGTGCCGATAAATAATGTTGCAGATAAGTAACTAAGTGGTTATTTTGTTCATTATGAAGAGTTATGATAGAGAAATAGTTAAAATCGTTAAAACTAAATCGTGTTAACAAATTCACTTGAAATCATTGACATAAGATTTTGTGACCCTTGGTCCTGCAATAATTTTGTTATTGATCTTCACTTCTCTTTGCCTAGGAACAATAAATATGTTTCTGTTGACTATATCTTCAGATGGCGCTGCGAATGGGATGCTATCTAAACCGCGCGGTATTGCTCTGGGATTGTTAGCTTCTAGGAGTTGCTGCAGTTTGTTGATAACAGCAGCTTGCTCGTCACGTTCCATCTCATTTATGACGATAGGTAAATTGGCAGCACATATCCATAGGTAAAACATCCCCACTGAAAAATGACAGTAAAACAACAAAACATATTTACAAGTTACCTAGACTTACATAGCTATCTAAGTACCTAATCTCATATATTTGTCTGATACCTAATAATTAAGAACTTACAAAGTAAAAATCCACCAGCAACGCTCGCTCCTATCAGCATACCAATGTCCATAGTATTTTGTTTGATCAGAAGCAATACAGTTGCAATTAAGACCGAAATTATAATAAGTCGCAGCAACTCCATGAGTATATAAAATACCATTAACACGTTGTTACACTGTCAAGTAAAGGTTTCATAATAATAATAATTATTAAATAAAATAATAGGTAGGACCCAAAAGAATGAGTAGATAATAATTTACCGTATATGCCCCATAGATATACACAACGCACACAATCATGTAAATGCTTGCGAAACTAATTCCAAGTGAAATATATTTATTTGGATCTGTAAAAATATTAATAATGTGAAATTAGGTAAAGTAAACCTTTTACCTAAAAAATCACAGAAGTAACATAATACCTCATTTACTTACCAGCTTGTACGTCCTCTAAATAACTCTGAGCATAAATAAGGTTGTAATCATGAATCCAGTTAGTAATCTCATCTTTGACCAATTCAGGCCGTCTATGTCCTAAGCAACAAAATACTAATAACACAAGTCCCTGAAACTAAGTATTTTATTATTGTTACAAGCACACAAGACATGTACTATGTATAATACTGCTTATCCACTTAACAGAAATAGATAGGTACAGATAATGTAACTTACCAGAGAAAATGTTCCTATTAAAATACCTCCTAAACGCAAAGAAAACCAAAAGCAGCAGCTATATACTAAAGCCATGGTATTAGGTAATAAATATCACATTTTTATTAGCTTTACAAATGGTATGAGGGGTTGATATTCGAATCACGGCTCACGACAAAATGTTACGTGTCCAAGTTTAATTCATTGCATCATGAAACGTACCATTTAAGGTCGGTTATAATAGCTTAGGTATAATGACAACGAATTACGATAATTGCTAGTAGTATTGATCTAATAGATTATCTCCGATATTATTTTGGGGTCCAGTATACCTAACGTTTATTATGATGGCGCAGGCAGAAGTGACATAATAAGTAGATTTACATGACCTGAACTTTTAAAGATTCTAAGGAAGGTTTTTGCAAGTTTAATAGTACGGTTGGTGCAGTGCTAAACTAATTGCTGCTTAACGTGTCTGGGTTCGATTTATGCATCTATATTTAATTAATTTACAATACAAATATTTGTTTGTGCATGTAAAATCAGTGTTTTAAATGCACCTGCGTATATAGAAATAAAACTATCGTGGGGGTAATTTAAGCAAAAAATAAAAAAAGGTATGTGGTTCCGTAATAAGAATATAGCAAAGGTAATGGATATATAATTGTTTGCGTGTGGTTTGAGTTAGTACTTTCTATTTCTATGAATCAGAACCGGTTAAATCTCGGATTTCACCATAGCACGTCATCATACTTAAATGTTGTGAACTGGGAAGCGGTGTGGGTGGGTGCGGTCGTTGATCTGCTTCAATTAACGTCGAACTATACAAGCGATGACACATGTAGGTCAGTCTAATCCAGTCTTTTGTTGACTTGCTCCAAATACTGTAATTATGGTCAACACATCAACCTAACATTACTGTCACCCAGTAAACTTTAACAGCGATGCTCCGTGATCCGTTAACTATTAAACCAGCCAATATGCATCTAATAACGGGTCATTTAGTGACCACTAGTATATTTACGTGCAACGAAACCAAAATATACACATACTTTTTATATAATAAAATTAATTAAGGTGTAAATATAAAAATAATATAGTCACATTGGAATATATGGATTTAAAATAATCGCACATTCGTCACCTATTGTTATAAACGAATGTAATGTCGTTGCGTTATCATAAGTAAGTACTCGTGCACCACTATATATCGACCCGTATATTGCGCAAAGCAATGTAGCACAAATATTTTAACAAATATGTCATGTTGTGTGCGTAAATATTGCAATTATATGCCGCTCCTAAATTAGGAAAGTGAATCATAAGATATAAATAAAATAATGTGTAGAAATTATTTTTATTTATTAATTCCTCCTGCAGTGCTTAATAGTTGCTGACAATTTAAGAACGAGATCTTGCAGTTAAACGTTATTATTTACATTTAATGTGTGCTAAGGCTTGCTTCTTCTGGTTTAGTAATGGCACTATTTACTAATGTAAGCTGGATTGGCGGCACTAAGTTATTAGAATATCATGGAACTTATTAAACTTCCAACAATTAGATTTTTTCGTCGCAACAAAATATTAAGTACATTTTTAACATCCAAATGGAAATTTAATCCTTTTTACCCCTATGAAACAATATCGGTACTTTAAATTAATGACTTTATCATTCACCCAATACAAAATTTGAACAAAACTGGCAAAATCTAACTTACAAAGCTATTTTTTGGCAAACACATTAATTTATATGTTATACAAAGATAAGTAAAACACAATACATTGTTTGTGTCACGTGGGTGCAGTATTCAGAATATGACTACAATACAGTCTTCTACATTATATATTTTCCTAAAGTCAAATATTTGATGACATCAAACAATTAACTGTGAATAATTATGTTTTTGATGATATATTTAAAATCTACTTTAGATCAAAAATAATTACCACCACTGATAAGGCAATATTGTGTCAATGAACATAATATACAATGTTTTAATGTTGTCTTGTGACTTCGAGAATGACACTAGTGGTGAACATTTATTTTTGATCATCACTAAGTACATATCGGTACGAACATTCAAATATTTGGTATTGTAATGGATGTAGAAGATAATTTTATAAAATTTCTATGATTGGGTTGGACACACATCTATGAATGTCTACAAGGAATTGGGTTGACTACTCGTATTTGATATTTTAAGGTATATTTCATAAGTATAGGAGAGCTGTTTGCTACACAGACAATTATTTAACATTATTATAAGTACCACATAGTAAAAATACGCAAGTGATATTGAAAAATCTGACGATATTTTTCCAGTCAATTAAAGCTTTTCTATCAACATGAAATACCTTATAAAATAAAACTAAAAAATTAAAATGCCATCAATTGAAATTATGTTTCATTAATTTGTTTCAAATTTTACTCAAATTTTTTGTATATCAAACTTTCTATCGTACGTCGTTTTTTTTACAAAGTCGAAATTAATAATAAATGTGATTATGTCTATACACTATTTGCTAAAAAAAACTTACCTTGGCAGCAAATTATTAAATTATCGTCGCTGTACACAAAGTAATAGTAAAGATGTCATTTTCATAATTACAAACTCGTTATTGAGTCAGAGATCATCAGCAATATACGAGCGACGACAAACGGAACCTAAAATTCCTAGAGCGAGATTTATACATTGAGCAATACTCTAAAATCTCACTCAAATTACAATTATTTAAAGTTAACATAAGTAGGTATAGAAGCAAACAGTAACCTATTACAACTAAAATTAGATAGGCATTATTTAGTTTAGACATTTCCATCACTAAAATTTAAAGTGACTGGAACAACATGTTTAAATAAAGCAAAATTATAAATTATAAGTTGGAACTCATAAATCGCAAAACATGTTGAGTACATTTGGATCAAGTTTGGTTATAAGCTATCAAAATAATAGTTTAACTATATGTTAATGATTGAGGTACGCCATTAACAGTCTTTGATTTCAGGACCCCGTTCTCGTACGACATTACTGTCTCCCGACCGTTTTCTGTCACCCTGTAACAATCATTTCATTACATTAAGTAAACAATTTGATAAAAATATAAACTCTTTTTAATTATATTATTAACATTAATATTAATTTGCCTCATACGATAAAATATTCTAATACTCAAATTCATTCCAATAAAAATTCCAAGTTTATTAGAATTATTAGGCCTAATTCAAAGTGGAATTCCATTTTTATTGTATGGTATGTTCCACCAAATTGCTTATAGTAAATTACCTAACAGCTCAAGGACTATTAAAATTTCCTTCTACGCTGTACATTCTACACATAATATTCATTTGAACCTTGCAAAAAAAATTTAAGTCTACTAATAATTTCGCAATGCTAGTTGCCTAGCTGTAGGTCATTATTTAAAGCATTTCAATGCAGAACATATTTTTAAATTTACATACAATCAGACTACCTAAGTTGAAGGCGAGCTATACTTGGTACACTCAGAATATCATTACCATACCACTGTTTGCGTATGATGTACTACAGAACAAAAAATTATATTTATGATAAAAAACAGATTTTCTTACTTTTTAGTCGTGATCTTTTTCCCGTTAACGATGCGCGTTGTAGTGGTAGTACTTCTCATGTTAGCGCTGCCGGGTCCCGCTAATGAGCTATTGAATGTAGAGAATGAAGTGAACGTGTTCCCATTCGATGCGGCATGTGCAAATATGTCATCGAGTCCTTGCATGCCGAACCCAAACGGGCTGAACAGGGATGAAGTGAGGGAAGTGCTGGGGTGGCTCCGACGACCGTGCCTGTGATGACCGTGTCCATGACCGTTGATTTCTAAAAAAGAAAACAGAAAACTAAATGATAAATTGTCGGTAGAGAGCGCTGGTGAATACTTGCTAAATTCAAACCATAATCTGTAAATATTTGCTAGTTACATTTATTAGACGAACAGAACTTTCCACGCCACATTGAACAAACAAAATTAATCTTCATTTTGTGCCCATTTGATGACACCAATTCAACATAAACAAATATTATGCCTTTATGTAATAACTTGTTCGTTCGCAAATTGAACATCAATTTATATTTTATTACATAGTTATTAATTTGTGGCACTTGTACCAGATAAAATACAAAATAAATACCTCTTTATAAAAATAAGTAAAAACTCAAAATATGTAGCTACAATTAGTCGCAATATCAGTTTATCGTTATCTTTATTGTTTATTCTTTCAGGTCACTGTAACTTCCATTAGCAAACCATTATTTATGTAGGTAAGATAACACAACGCATTAGATCGACCTTAATTAAAATCTGTTTTACCTATAAGTTCTAAAATTAATTTAATGTGTTATTCTCAAATATTTTACCAGGAAATAAATCGCCGAATGGAGACCCGCCGAAGAATTCTCTGAAAACCTCTTCGGGGTCACGGAATGTGAACGGGAAGCTAGGGTAGCCGAAGTCGTAATCATCGTCGGGAGCTGAACGCCTGCCTCTGCCGTTATTCAGCCCTTCTTTGCCATACTGATCATATACTCGCCGTTTTCTTTCTGAAATAAATAGGTACAAACATTATAATTCAACTAAAACATAATTAAATTGTTACTTCAAAGGTTTAAACGTCACTTCCTTTGTCACATCATGCGTTTAGTCCAATAATTCGAAAATAACCATTTCCAGTTTTCAAATTTTAAATAGGTAAGTATTGCAAACTCGAGTTTATAGCGTACACATAAGTGATGTCACCAATGCACGAAACTTCGGTAAAACGACCTTAGCTGCCTGCGTTTGCGTCTGCGATGAATTTCCTAGTAATCGACAGTTATGTGATCACGACTTTGTATAAAAACTATCATAGTGATTAAAGTAAGTAGGTGTTTTTCAAAATTACTTGATAGATAATTACGTATTATATATGTTAAGTTTATCAGATTCAAGGTCGGGTACTAAATAACGTTTTACCTTTTGCAATTAAAACAAGCCCTATAAATCCGTACTACGTGACTGGAAGGCTTTAAATAATGGCATAGGTCACGTAGTTAATTAAATACTAGCACCTAACAAGTTGACCTATGGTTCTTGGTTTTTAAGAGTTCACAAAGGAATGTACTTAGCTACTTTTAGCTGAATTTGTTTAGCGTGTAAAGATGAACTTCGTTCTGGTTGCAGGATGTATCTGTTAGATTAAGTTATGTTGGTACATTACGCCTACTTTTCGCTAAAAGAATAAATAGAAGTATGACAGACGTTTCACGTAAACATCAAGTTTAGTGAATTAACAACCAAATAACAGTGAGTTTAGAAGTAATTAGCAATCGATTAATCAAGAGTTAAGATTTAGAAAGCAAAGCATGTACTAAGAGTACTTACGCGCAAATATAAAACAATAGGCATGATAAACATTCTGAAATTGAGTCAAGGCTACATTTGATATGAAACAAAGTACCCAAATGTAAGCCTAAGTATGTAATTATAGCATAGAGTTTTAAGGTAATTTAACGGTTGCGAGAACCTTAATTAGAACGCATATTTTTATAGTTTCAATGTTGAAAGTTGCAACAGATACTTGTTTTGTGCAAGTACGAGACTGCCATTCAGAAATGTGTTGGGTGAATACTGAATGCTGGTAAATATTGTAAAATTGGAGAATGCGTGTGAGGATTCTGTTTTTAGAAAACACTTAGCATGTCGTGTATGAAAATAGTTGTTACGTAGTTTTTATTTTAAGACAGAGGTAATTATTTGCTCTTGTACAAGGTTTTATTAACACTCGATATTATTTAACCGAGTTCAAAAGTAGATAGCCAAGTGTAGATAACTAGGTATCCGCGTTTACTTGAAAATATACAGACCACGTATAATTAAGCATGTAGTATTAAGAATTTAAACGCATAGTCGGAGATACCGGGATACCCAGTAGATAAGTAGGTACTCATTTATTTATAAAATGTGCTTATAATTACTTTGTTTGACTTCCGTGATTTTAATATACAGTTACAATGACTCGCCAAACATATGTAATGTTCCCATTTTATTCATCACCAAGAAGGTGAATCACTTCGTGCGTAGGAGGATATGTTCGTATGACTATAACTTATGAATGTTTAACATAAAATTCCATGTTCATAATAACTGGAATTAATATTAGGTGCATTTAAATGTAACTAGGTCCGTATATTGCGCCATAAAAGGGTTGTACTGCAACACCGTGTTATCTACAGGTAATCAGGTATTTCACTTCAATTTCGTCACTGACCATTGATCCATCGTACCATTATTAACGCAACAAAATACAGTAATACGTAGGTTTGATACACGCTTTTTGCAGCTATTTAGATTAACTGTTTTATTTAAATTTAACTAAAATACCAAGAACGCAAACTCTTAAAGCATTATAATATATCATTATATAGAGACATTATGCACAATCATTATCAGATAAACTCACACTGAACTCAATGTTAGTAATGTTTAGTGGGCCCAAACGAAAAATAAAGGTTAGGTTTGTTTCAACACCGTTCTGAATATTATCATGGTGACTAATCCTAACCTGATCATTTTAGCTATTTGATTAGGCAAATGTCAGTAGCGCACTGGAACTGCAGACTATTTAAGCAAATGATAATATTCACAACTTATTAAGCCAATCCTGCATTAAGTGGACAGCTACCAAAAAAGCGGTGGAATGGCGTTTCTCCGAAAAACCCTCTGAAGTTAAAGTGGCGATGCCCATTGACTCCGTTCTTGCTTTGATATCTGTGTGCGTGATGACTGGATCCCCGTGCATCATATACTTTCCGCTTGTTTGCTACCCAACAACAAAAATCATTTTACACTTCTATATCAAGCAGCTACTATTAATCTTCATTACAATAAGAAATATTAATAGTGCTCACTGACTGTGCACATCTGTGGATATTGTGATGGCTACATTATAACAACTGCTGCATTCAGAATCTATTACAATGCTAATTATGACCAAAATGGTCAACAGTCACATCATTCACAAGACATATTTCTAAATTATTGAGTAGCTGTGGTATTCAGATATTTACTGAATATTTATTAAGTCATTGAGCAATTTTGAATTGAGGATAATAGATTTTAAATAGTAAATACATAAATAATTCAATAATATTATTATGGGTTTACTATATTAAATGTAAATCAATATTGTAAGCATAGGAAATTTAGAAAACTTTATTACCCGACAATAGCCATATTAAAGCCAAGATAATTGAGCAACATTGAATACTCCAGCTAAACAAACATAGATATTGTATAAAGGTAATTAATTAAACTCACACTCACCATCAGACAGAACTTCATAGGCTTCAGATATTTCCTTGAATCGTCTGTTAGATTCATCTGCATTATCTGGATTCTTATCAGGATGCCATTTCAATGCTAGTTTTCTGTAACTGGAATTAAAGAAATTCACATTGACATTTTGTTTATGTATGTAGGTACATTCATATTTTGATAAAGGTAGTAGAGAGTCTATTGCAGGTCAGTTCCAATCAACCGATAGACATGGAAAATATAGGAGGTTCCCTATAATCATGCTTGTACTTACAATATTTGTCTACAATTATTAGCTGGTAGACAAAAATTGTAAGTACAAGCATTGGGGTTTGTTTAATGTAGTCACAGTATATTGTTAATAACTATCATACAATACATACAACAATACTACAAACAAACAACAATACCAACACAATCATGTTGTTAATATAAAAATAATATTAAAGTTTGAAATTAAATTTTCCATTAGCATCGGTACAAAATGAATGCCATTCATACATCATTGTTTACTTATGAATTTTCATCTTAAAGCAAATAAAAACTCATTGAAAACAAGTAGACTACTTTCCTAATTTACTTAATAATAAAAGCTATGCTGTTGATAATATCAGTATCCAGTTTAGGGATTCCATCCTGATGAATTTAACCAATTGAAAAATAACTTACGCCTTTTTTATTTCTGCCTCGGAAGCGGCTCGAGTAACACCGAGTACCCTATAGTAGTCCACCATTGCTGGTCTCCCTCAAGGGATGTGAATATGTCTGAAAAGAAAGTTATTTATTAGAAATGTAAAATTAAGTACCTAATGTAGTCATTGCTTACAACATCATGTCTGTTCATCAAGATTTTAGATATATCACCCACTCTTTGTCCTGACATTGAACATTAACTCTTTGAGTACCGTGATTATAGACACAATTAAAAAACAATAGGTTGCGGTCACCGGTGTCCTCGTGGTGTTTGACAGTTTAACTAACACTAAACTTGTAAATTAATATAATAATGATGACCCAGGCTGATGGCAACTAACTAGCCTAGACTGGAGTTCAGTCTATAAAGTATTTAGTTAGCAATAGCACTTAGAGCAGACAGAATAGGCATGGATCTTTTGGCATGTACATTTCGCACACAAGACAAAGAGAATTTGAGGTCTCTTTACAAAGTTACTATTTACCTACTCAATAATATTGGTGGTATATTACGTGCTGACAACTTTTGACGAGTATAATAATTAGTGACAAGCTAACCTGTCACATTCAACACTATGAACAATACAAAATATAGCCGCATTTGTATGAAATTCGATAATCCCTATACTACGATAAACTTTAATATCTAATTTTGTAGAAGAGTCAATCTAATTCTAAATTATCTAACCATTGAAAACAAATCAATTCATTTTATCTGCATGGTGCAGAATAATGTCCAAGTTCAGTAATCACTTACAATCCCAAAACTAAAACATCAACAATACAAACAATCTGACTTACCGTTTGGAGGGTCAAAGTGAACAATAATTTAAGTAGGAATCCAGAAAAATATGAATATGTAAATGGCACAATTTTCAACTGATGTTACTTTTTTTTGTAAGTACCTCTAAACACAAAAAACATTCCACAATGTCATTTCATTTGAATCATTTGTCAAAAGATTGTCAGGGAAGGGACCTCACTATATCACTAGGGATTGACACCTGTCAGACAGAATTATTTTATGATTTTAGGCCTAGTTTACACATTATGGCCACCGGAATTGTTTATGCGCTGTACGGTAGTTTTTTTTATCCTGTTTAAGTATTTGTTACTTTAAGCAGTAACGGCAATAAGTACTTGAAGAATTGTATTACAATTGTAGAGACACTGGTAAAATAACATCATAATAAATTAATAAATTATTGTACTATGCACGATACGCACGACTAAACAAAACGTTTAGATCTTACACTTTTTTTAAGATTACATACAATTATGTACACAAAGCACCGCTAATTAGTTGCAGCGCTACACATCGACACAACTGTCATTTACACAGTGTACATGTGTGCGTAATTTCATATAACTGTATATAAAAATATTCGTCCACCACGTTCACATTGGTATTTTCATTCTTGTGTCGGTATACGTATTTTTATAATTTAATGCATAGGTAAGGTTAAAACTATTTACAATCATTGATATGACCCGACATTTTCACTGTCATTATCGTAGTGCTCGTGGTCGATTGGTTAATGAGCACGCTTTTATCGTCTTTCAAGGATCAATGATGTGGGTTCTATTCCAGCTAAAAGTTAATTTTATTTTACCTTGTTATTTTTCTTATTTTTTTTTTTGTTTTTTGTCATAAAATATAAATATCAGGCTATAAAAGAAGCAAAGGAGTTGGTTAATAAAACAATACTATTTTTTATTACAATTAATTTTTTATTATACAAATATGTTGTTTTATATTCAATATTTATATCTAATAATTAATTATATAACACATGTTAAGTTTAAAGTTCTTTAAATCATAATTAATAGATATGACAATAAACCTCATAGTCGAATCGGGAAATATCATGCGGTACAGCGGTAATACGATGGCAGCAACATTTTTTATTAAGTAGGTAATAAACAAATATACAACATTCTTGTTTTGTAATTTAATAATATAATGTATTATTAAATTACAGTTTTACAGTAATAAACAAGTAAAACATGTAAAAAATTACACTGTCAACATAATATTTCTTGAAATGGGCGACTTTTTGTCGTTTGAACTTCCATTAATTATCTATTTTACGACGGTTGTTATAAGGTTCAATATTCAGTGGGCTGTATGATAGTAAAAAGAATGTGACGAATGCTATGGAACGATTTTAACTTTCATGACCTTTAGAATCAGGGAAACTTTAAATTAATTGAAGATGGGCGTAAATATAATATGTCAATCAAGTTCGAAAGCACTTAAATAAATTTGTTAATGAAAAATTAAAGTGAAGTGAATAAACATGTTGAATAGAAAGAAATTATGACAATTTCTAACCACAAAACAATAACATCACTTCACCGTATGTTCTAGACAGCATTTTAATATTCTTAAAAAAATTAAACATTATTTTATGTTAATTTTAATAAAGGCAGAGTTTGACAGGCTCAATAATTGATTCCGAAATCAATACAATCACTGATCCTACAAGGCAGAAGGTTGCAATTCGTATACCTTTCTCCATCTTTTCTTCACAATATTTTACGCCCATCCTTATCCGACTTGAAAGTCTTTTCGTCGCTCAATATGATTACACTGTTCGCCCAATCAAAATTAATAAAGTCCTTAGCAAATTCTTAGCGCTTTTGCTGGTGAACCACAGATAACAATATTTTCTTCTCTGGCTTCCTGCACCTTAAACCAGAATGCAGGTGTCTCCGTACAGTTTGTATTAAAACATTCAGTGCTGTCGCTGTAGTGCGGGTTGGCAGGAACGGATCAGCCATGTGCCTGGCTTGTAGTTGGATGTCGTAGTGCCGAGCCGATGAATTTGCCTTTGGTTTAGGTCCACGTCGACGATGTTTAACGTCACCGGTCTCCGCATATCTGTGCACCCATAACTGCATGGATCTCCTCTGTTGATACCAAACAAATAAGTATTTAAAATACCAGGAAATACTTTACAGGAATTAAAGTTACTTAAAAATAATAATAAATATAAGTAAACACAATGTTAGAATAATAATTTATAATTAAGTAGTGGCGTAAGGAATAAAAATCCCTAACCAGATATGTTTTAAAGAAACACTCCTAACAAAAACAAGTCAAGTTACAATACAATTAATAATAAATTATTAATATATCTTTATAATATTGAACTTCATAATAAGTTGCAATAATTATTTTATTCTAGTGCAAAATTGATAGGTGTGTCGAGTTACAAAATGAAATAAATATTATTTAGAATATCAACGTAGTATCTTATTTACTCACCGATATCATTAAACGCCTTGTTATTTCAGTTATTGTTAGTTATGTTTTGCTCATGCAAAACAATGATTTCAGCCTTTTTAAATGTTGATAGGTGTTGGAACATCTTGTAAAAATAAAAATAACTTTGCACACGAATATAAGTAGTGTAGCAATAAACTATGAAATCCTCATAAATTGACAACTAAGAACGCAATTATTTTGTAAGTCGGGTGATTTGAAAAACATGTTTTAAATAGTCGGTAGTTACTTCATAAGCGTGTAAAATAAAATGACTCGAGATTTCTATGGTCGCCACAAACATTGCAAATATACTCAGGTATCGAACCATTAAGAAATCACAGTTAATTACTTTTTTACTGTTTTTATCTTATTTAAGTTGGTTGAAATGCATGAAGCAAATGAGATTATTCTAAATAATAAATAACTAGAACTAAAATATAAATAAAAGATATTATAGGTATAAATAAATCTAAAGTATTTACTATTAAAATTAACATAAGATTTAGAACAATAGGAAAGGAAAAAAAAGAAAAGATTTAATTGTTTCTAATTTCAAATATTTGATAAATTAATTCTAAAACAACATGTGAATGTTGGAATCGATCCGGCGGCACTTTACTTGACAATTGGAGGCGATAACCATTGCGCCAAGCGCGCTGTAGATGAGATCATCGAAATATTTTATATCATTCAGTAACATAAAATTACAATGAGAAAGCACTATATTTATATGGGTATTGTATAGCTCGATCGTTCATTATTTTTGATTTCGATTTATTCAAAGTTTGTTATGAGTAATTTTATCTTTACCCTCGTTTTTATTTAAACTTATTTACTAAATTATTGCGTATACCGACACAAAAATGATTTTTAAATACCAAGATGTGTGTGATAGACGAATGTTTCTATACATATCTATTGATATAAAATTACCCACACATGTATATTGTGTAAATGATAGTTGTGTCGATGTGTAGCGCCGCTAACTAATTAGCGGTGCTTTGTGTACATTAACACTTAATCTAAATATTTTATTAACTATAAAAATTAAAACCGTGTGATCTATGACATTCAATTAAGGTCAAATATTAAGTCTGGCAATTCCTTTATTTTAACTGCCCTTGCTGCCTTGGTTCTTGAATTTCGAATTTTCTACCCTTCCCATAATCGTCCTTTTGTTTAGAGTACAATTTAGTATTATATTTTTTGGTGTAGGACATTACATTTCGTATCATAACCTCACGTTTGTCTCCCATGGGGATAGGCAGACACTAGGAACGCCAATTGCTGTGATTTTTACATACATCTTTCGGTCCATTAACCGTCCAATTAAACTATAATTGTACATAAACCATTAAATTATAATTGTTATCGTTTATAATGTGTGTATTATATAAATTGCTTGTGTTGATTTATTAAAAGGATTTTTACTAAAATCAAACTAAATCAATTAATTATGTAGGTACCTAAGTATTTATAAATAAAATAACATTAATTATTATGTATGAACGTCTTAAAAATCTAACCAGCCACACAGTGACAAGCAGCTGCAGGGTATTATTTTTATAAATTAAAATCCAGATAATTTAAATAATAATATCCTTCCTACATTCGGGTTAAAAGATAAAGGTAGGTACGTAAGCTTCGCACGAGGTATGTCTTGGCTTTGTTCAATCAGTTCAATGTTCCTCTAACGTTCCAACTCCAACTGACATCGTCGTCGTTCCGATACTTTGAGTAAAATACCTACCTACTAATTAAACGATTGAG